TCCAGGGATGTGGCTTCCAGGTCAGTTCCAGCTCCATTGCTCCAAGTCCTGTGTCTGAAGTATGTTCTGTCTTCAGCAAGATGATCTTTCCTTCAAGCTGTGGGAGGTAATCAAGGACTGTGGCAGTAGCCTGTGTTATTTTTGAGTCTCTTGGACTACACAGACCAACAGCTCAAAGGAAGGCTTCTCCTGCCTGAGACTGTGTTTCTTGGTCTGTAACCTTATACACATACAGTCATGTTCAGAGATTGTGTGCGCACTTTCAGCTCATATTTGAGCTAATTCCCTTTCCTCTGTTTTTTTTTTTTCATACCGCCTAAGCTTTATATATCTCTCCTCTCGCCCTCCCCGTCTAACCTCCCTCATTTACCAAAGTTCCCCCATTTTCCCCTTGATAATACCTGTCTCCTATGGTCTCACCTCTCTTAAACTCCTTCTTCCCCTTACCCCCATAGTTCCTTGTATGTCCTTCCCTTTTCCCTTTCAAGTTGAATACCCCATCTCCCCCATTTTCCCCTTGGTAGCGTCTGTTTCCTACTATCCCTCTTCCTTGAGCTCTTTCCTTCCCTCTACCTCCGTGGTTTCTTTTCATTTTTCTAGCTCCTGATACACATCAATAAAATAAAAACAAAACAAAAAGAAGAAAAAAAATGCCAACTTACAAATGAACAGATTTCTAACTCTGGACTGGGATAATAATTTAAATATATATTTTATTGTCTTTATTTAATGTGCATGAGTGTATTGCCTACATGTATGTGAGTGCACCTGTCTTTATAAGGCCTGTAAAGGCCAGATGAGGGCATCAGATCCTCTAGAACTGGAGTAATGGACAGTTGTTATTCACCAGTGGGTGCTGGGAGATGAACCCGGGTCCTCTGCAGAGCAGCCAGCACCCTTAACAGCTAAGTAATCTCTCCAGCCATGGGTAATACTTTTTAATACAAATAAACAGCACCAGAGAACTGAGTGCTTGGGTATGTTGCACCACTGTGTGCATCTCCTTCCTCCTCTGTGCAAAAGCAGGTACGAAGACTCTCACCACAATCTATGCACACCTTCACCCAGTTAACTCATGCCTCTCATCTCCACCTGTAAGTTGGTAATGGAGTATCCACCTGTACTGCACACCTCTCTGTGGTGGGGACTTCACAGGATCAAAAGAACACTCAAATCCTCAAGGATTCAACAACCTGCCAGTGCTCACTGGTTTCCTGGCTAAGAATGTGAACAAGTTATTGCATGGTTTCTGGAAATCCCCTATATTCATGATAGCCCTCACTTGGCTGAAACTTTACCAGTAAGCTATATCCTTTGGTGTAAACCTTCCCCAGTGCCACATGAAGTACATGAAGTGGACATGGGTCTGAGTGGAAAGCTCAGAGAGCAGATACAATCCTCTAAGTGTGGAAGCTGGCTATCCACTGATTGTTTCTAACTGAAGGGCTGCTGTCCTCTCCCTTGGTCCATCCTTCCTCTTGTCTTCCTCAAATGTCCCATAACATGGAGGAATGTTCTCAGCACTGAAGCATGCTGCACAGGAGCAGTGTTCTGTGGAGGAACTGGTTGTGTTGTTGAACCCTCTGAGAGCTGGAGTGGGTGCCCATGCCAAAAGGAGAGAGTAAGGAATGAATGAGCAGGGTCCCAGGAGCTTTCAGGACTCTATTTCCATATGGTCATGCATTTCCTCCTTGACTCTTACAATCTTTCTGCCCCCTCTTCCACAATGGTCCCTGAGCCCTGGGTGGGTGTAGTTTAATATAGGAGTCCTGTCCAAGGACCGGCATTCTGCAGACTCTTAATCTCTACACCTTCACCATTTGTGACTGTTTGTGTTCCTGACCCCGAGTTGCATGAGGGGGCTTTATTAATGAGAACTGGGGTATCCATTATTGCCTTCTTTTCCCCTTGTTCTATGTTCTGTGAGCCTTAGGTGTAGAGGCTGCATTGTCTGTGTGCCACTTAGTCTTGGGCAATTCACAGACAGTGTCTGTGTGTGACCAGTTGTGGTACTCTGTAATAGTCTCTGTCTGGTGCAAAAGAAGTTTCTTTGATGAGTGGTGACTGGGATGTTTGTCTGTAAATATAAGGACACATGTTTTGCACATAGTAAGAAGTTATATTAGTCAGGGGTGTGACAGTTTTGGGGTTTTCTCTAGGATTTATGACTTCTCCTGCCAGGTGTGTTTGGCTAATTTTATAGTACCACATGTGCGTTTCCTCCCACTGAGTGGGCGTTTAGTTCAGTTAGGTAGCTGTTCATTGTCTCCAAGATAAAAGTGCCACTACTGCACCAATGTCATATGCTGTGCAGGTCATTGTTGTGGTTATTTGATCTTGAAGCTGGTGCTGGAGCATTGATTGACGTTCTCACTTAGCACCTTGCATAGTGCTTTCCCAAGCTATGAGAGCTCTCCTTCAGGAGAGGTGGCTTCCAGGTCATTTCCAGCTCCTTTACTTCAAATCCTGTGTCCGAAGTATGTTCTGTCTTAAGGGTAGATGAACAGCTACCTACTTGAACTAAAGGGTCTTATCTTAAACTCTGGGAGGCAATCAAGGACTGTGGCAATAGTCTGTGTAATTTTGGGAGTCTCCTGGACTGCCTAGGCCAACAACTCAAAGGAAGGTTTCTCCTGTCTGTTACTGTTTCTTGTTATGTAGCCTTTACGTATACACTGTGAACTCATCAGAGATATTGTATGTGTAATTTGCCATTTGGTTTTTAGACTAATATGATTTCCACTGCTGTTTTACACGAACCAGGCATTATTTATCTCTCCCCTCTCTCTCCATGTCTAACCCTCCCACCATGACTTCCCCATTTAAAGTGTCCTGCTCCTTTTTTTATTTTTTTGCGCATATGGACTACCTAAGTAATGGTGTCAGCATGCACAGGACCCATGCAAACTCAGACAAAAATCCAACATAGAACTGGGGAAATGGGCAGCTGACCCCAATCTTAGCTGAAGAAATATTGGCAACTCATTGCTGCTGAGTGAGGAAGAGCTGATCTTCCTGAAGTGAGAGACTCCAGATAACTTGACTAGACGTCAGTGGATGAACTTGCACTGAGAAATGTTTGGGTACACTAACTTGACATAATAGGCCTTAAGACAAATGACAGAATGTCTTATTTCTGGTGGGGGATGTGTTACGGGAGGGTGCCAGTGGGGAAGGGAGTATAAAGATGATTAAGATTGATTGAGAAGATGTTCTGTATGAGCCTGGTGTGATGGCACACGTTTTTAGTCCCAGCACTTGGAGGGCAGAGGCAGGCAGATCTCTGTGAGACTGGTCTACATAGCGAATGCCAGGCCAGCTGGGGCGTGTTTTCAGTAATTATTAACAGTACAAAGAGGCAAGTTTCCAGGACATTTGTTCTGGTTTATTTGACAGAGACAGTGGGTTCAGAAACAGACAAAAGGACTATTAGGACTATTCTGTTCTTTCTTTTGATACTGTGGGCCTCATTAGAGTTTCATTTTCTTCAAACGCTGTGTCATAGAAGGGCTCACCCTTTTGAAAGACAAAGTCAGGTGGACTGATAGGCATAGCCCACCTGTCTACTTCCAGGAGGTTCACGCAGATGTTCCCGCAGAAGGCTGAGCAGCAGATATTATTTTCTTGGCACTCTTGGTGAGCTTCACGGTGGCGTTTGCACAGATAAAATTTAGGCTTCCTCTCACACTCCTTGATAGTTTCTACAAAGGACCAATACCAGGTGAGGAGAGGTGGCTACCTAGAGAGAATGTCTCTTAAGCTTAAAGCTCCTCCAAAATGTTGGGACTCACCCATGCCTACCCTAATGTCTACATGCTTATTTGCCCTAAACAGGCATAACTCAAAGTTGTCCAGTTTGCCCATTGGATTCTCAGCCTCATGTCTCTTTCACCAGAGAATGGATTATTTGTTTCTATGTCTTTGGAGTAAAGTGGGTGGAGGGGGGGAAGCTTCATCCTCTACTCTATCAGTATTCCCAGTCCTGGGCACCAGGAATGAGGGTTGTGAACCCCCAGAGTCTATACAGTGCCGTGGAGGAGCAGGGTATGCAGAGAGAAATCATCTCCTTGCTCCTTCTGGGCCTGTGTTCAGCTGTTCCCTGCCTGCCACCCATATATCCACCTTGCCCATTACCTACCCACTTTCCTCCAATGTCGGCGCCCTCCCTGAGTCTGTGACAGCAGCAACAGCACAATGAGGAGAAGGGTGGACAGCAAAGCCCGGGGCAGCATGACTCTGCCTAGGGCTGTTTGCCTAGACCTGATCCAGATGCAGAGTACTGCAAAGTGCAAGATGTGGCAAGGGAATGCAGAAAGGGGTGGGTGGTAGGGTGAAGGGGTGGAGACAGGTGGATTCCAGGTTCCTGATGGCCAGCCACTGTAGCTGAAACTGATTACCAGGTTCAGTGAGAGATCTTATCACAGATAATACCATGGACAGTAATGAAGAGGGCACCTGACTTCTACCTCTGGCCTCCACCCGCACATGTTCAGTCACATACATGTATGCAACACACACACACACACACACACACACACATACACACAGAGAGAGAGAAATCTAAAATTTATTTCAAAGATACATCCAAAATATTTCGTGGAACAGAAAGAAAAATAAAATTAAGAAGATTATAATTTCATCAGTCAAAATGGACTCATAGTTCCTTATATTATTTTTTAGTTTCTTCAGTCATTAACACAAATAATCCTTGAATTCTCTGATTTGTATTAACCATTTTTATTACTTATCTTTTGTTCTTATTTAATCGTGTAAATATTTCACAAATGGCTTTCCATAAGTATACTGCTTTAAAACATGAATATGGCTGGGTACTGGTTTTTTCTAATTCACGATAGTCTACAGAATGCCCAAGGCTGGGAAAGATGGGTCTGTGGGTAGCAGGCAAGGAGAGCTGAGGACAGACTGAGGAGGAAGGGGAGGCGATAACTCTCTGCTCACCCAGCTCCATCCCCAGCACTGTGTAGATTCTATTTTTTATTAATGAATTCTTTTTTTTAAGATTTTTTTAAAAAGAAGCATTTCATTACAGCTTTAACATACTCATTAACAGTTTCCAGAGCAAAGATACATCTCTTTCAAAACTGGCTATAAAATTTTTAGGTTCGCTGTTGAATTAATACAGTTATACAATATTGAACTCAGTATAAGCCCTGTAAGACATAAAATTGAATGCGTTTTCGACCTTTAAAAAAGATCTGCATCTCATTTTAAAATATACTGTTTCTTACAGAAAGACTCATTGTTTTTGCTAGTAACACTGAGATGTTGGCACATGCATCTCTAATCTGTATGTATCTGATTATTACTAGTCATAATTGGTTGCACTCGAATTCTTGGCACCTGTGTATGTCTATGAAGTCATTGCACAGATTTTAATGGTAATGTTTATCACCTCTCCTAATTAACATGACATAAATTTTTATGCTTCCTCCTCAAATATAATTCATTTTTTAAAATTTGTTGATTTTTTTTGTGTGTATATCACACAGAACATTGCAAACCATCTCATTCAACTATACACTCACTTCCTATATAGCACCCTCCCATAGCCCCCTCCCCCGACAAGAATCCTTATACTCTATTATCCCTGCTACTGTCCACTGTGTTGATGGCACCCCCAGCCATTCCCCACTACTTGTCCATCTGGTGAATCTAGTCAGCCTATCTAGAGGTCTTTGTTTTAGGAAGGTCAGCTATTCCTCATCTAGCAGCAATCAGTTGTCAATATTCCTTTAGATAAGATTGGGGTCTGCTGTTTATTTTCCCAGTTCTATGCTGGGTTACTATCTGGGAGTCCCTTGGGCCACCCTGGCCAACAACTCAAAAGCAGCTATCTCCTATCTGGCATTGCCGTTTGTTATGTAGCCTTTAGATATTCATATGGACTCTTAAAAATTATATTGGCCCCTTTAATCTTTGGTTATACTTTCCTTTTGAATGTTAAGGCCATATAGTTGGCCCAGATAAACCAATTTATTTTTACTCTTAAGGCTGTTTGAGGCTCTGTTCTTCAGGGGTCACATGGGCTTGGGAGGAGTCTCTGGCTCCTTTCTTTTACCAGTTCCATCTATGTGAAGGTAAGTCAAAAGTCCTCTCAACCATGTCTGGCTTCACTTGGAAGCATGAATGAGATGTATCCTCTGAGTTGTTCCTACTCTTTGTAGACTGGACATTGGTTCAAGTGTCTCTTGTGGGGTCTCCATGTCCTCCTTGAACAAGACAACAGGTGACTCACCACAGTTACAGGACAGTTTGAGAGATATTCTATAGTTCCCTGGAACTTAATTGACTTTGGAGGGCAAGAGACAAAACCTGTCTAAGTCCCTCTGATCACATTAGTATAGGCCTCAAACTATGGCTGTAAAACATCCAATAAGCTTAGTTCCACCAGTCTGGTACTTTTTAATTATCATGTACTACATAGATAAAGCTTGGGAAAAAACCAAATATTCTCAGATAAACCTTGACCTAGATATATATTTTGTTCCTTAAACTAGTTGATTAAATTATGACCAGAGAAATTTTAAGATTATGTGCATATTATTTTTGAAGAATGGGGTTGTTTATTTTAAAATTTCATTTATTATTATTCTGTATATATACTGGTCCCCTAGGTTTCTTGTATACCCTTCCCTCCCTCCTCCCTTAAACTAATCCAATTTTTATCCATATCACCCTTATTAAGGCCTTTTTCTTACTGTTCTCCTCTTTCAGGTTCTTTCTTTTCCTTTACCATTATCATGGTTCCTGTAGTTATATCGGGATACATACTCACTTATCAGGGTTTGGTTCTAGGATCCACATATGAGGGAGAACATAAGTTGATTTTTTTTTCTGAGTTTGTGTTACTTCACTTAGTATAATAGTTTTTAGTTCCATCCATTTGCCTGCAAGTTTTATGATTTCATCTTTCTTTACTGCTGAGTCAACTTCCATCATATAAATTAACCACTTTTCATTACCCACTAGTCAATTGAGGGACATTTAGTTTGCTTCCATCTCTTAGCTATTGTGAAGAGAGCAGCAACAAACATGATGTACAAGTGTCTCTGCGATAGGATGAGTTCTTTGGGTCAAATGGTAGGTTCATTTGTAGTTTTTAAAGAGTTCTTCACTGTTTTCCATAGGGGTTGAACAAGTTTGCAGCCCCACCAGCAGTAGATGAGTGTTCCCCTTTCCCCACATCCTCTCCAACATTTGGTACCATTTGCTCTCTTGATCTTAGCCAGTCTGACTGGGGTAAGATGAAAACTTAAAGTGGTTTTAATTTGCATTTCCCTAATTATTAGTGATGTTGAACATATTTTAAGATGTTTCATAGCCATCTTTACTTCTTCTTTTGAGAACTCTCTGTTCAGCTCCTTAGCCCATCTTTTAATTGGTTTGCTTCTTGTCTTGATTCTCTGTTTTTGAATTTGTTATATATTCTGGATATTAAACCTCTGTCAGATGTGTCGGGTTCGTTATCTATTTTGGATGTTAAACCTCTGCCAGATGTGTTGCTGGTGAAGATTTTCTCCCATTCTGTAGGTTTTCTGTTCACTTCCCTTGTTGCTTCCTTTGATGTACAGAAGCTTTTTAATTTAATGAGGTCCCATTTGTTGATTCTTGACCTTGTTTCCTGAGCAATTGGTCTGCTTTAGAAAATCCTTTCCTACACCTATGTCTTGTAGGTTTTTCCCAATGTTTTCTTCTAACAGTTTTACAGTTTTAGGCTTTACACTGAGGTCTTTGATCCATTTTGTGCAAGGTGAAAGATAGGGGTTTAGTTTCATTCTTCTACAGGTGGACATCCAGTTTTGCCAGCACCATTTGCTGAACATTCTGTCTTTCCTTCAGTGAATGTTCTTGGCCCCTTTGTCAAATATCAGGTGGCTGAAATTGCATGTACTCATATTTGGGTCTTCAATTTTGTTCCATTGATCTATGGGTCTATTTTTGTGCCAGTACCATGTTGTTTTTATGACTATAGCTCTGTAATACAGCTTAAAATCTGGTATAGTAATCCCCCTGGCATTGCTCTTAGTGCTCATGGTTGCTTTGGCTATCCGAGGTCTCTTGTGCTTCCATATGAATCCTAGGATGGTTTTCTCCAATTCTGTGAAAAATGTCATGGTGATTTTGATTGGCATTGCATTGAATCTATAAATGACTTTTGGTAGGATGGTCCTTTTCACAATATTAATTCTTCCAATCCATGAGCATGGGAAGTCCTTCCATCTTCTGATGTCTTCCTCAATTTCTTTCTTTAATGATTTAAAATTTTCATTGTAGAGTTCTTTAATGTCTTTGGTCAGGTTTATTCTGAGATTTTATTTCTTTATTGCAGCTATTGTGAAGGGCAGTGTTTCCATGTGCTCCTTCTCTGATTGTTTGTTATTGGTATATAGAAAGGCTACAGACTTTTGTAGGTTAATTTTGTAACCTGCTACTTTACTGAACATGTTAATAATTTCTAGGAGTTTTCTGGTGGAATTTTTGGTGTCTCTTGGATATAATATCATATCATCTGCAAAAAGGGATAATTTGAGCTCTTCTTTTCCAATTATTACTCCTTTAATTTCCTTCTCTTGTCTTATTGCTCTTGCAAGAGTTTCA